ACTATTTAGTGCTGCCTCAATATCAATAATCCTAACTCACACTTGAGATACACTTGTTCGAGTCAACTTCAACCTTGTTCAACCTGAACCCCCCCCCCCCCTTCTTCCCTTCGGCTTCTGCCTGTGTAACAAACCATACTGTGTAACATGCCAGCTGGATTCTAAGTCTAATGACAGAGATCTGACCACTCGACCAACAGGCCTCCTTCTAGTAAAGAAAAACGGCGTGGTTGTAAATAGAAGGGTTCCCCGCCCAGTTCTCCTCAACCAAAGTAAAAATGGCCACTTTGATATAGTGGAACTGTCGAGGTTTTTGTTCCAAGCTGGATGACATTAAGGCCTTGATCGATTCCTATCATCCCTTGTGTCTTTCCTTACAGGAAACATCCCTGAAACCTGCTGATACAGTCACCTTTCATCAGTTTTCTTTATACTGGAATAACAGGTTGTGTGATGGATGAGTGTACGGTGTCACTTAATACACTCTTGGATGCTGTAGCCGTCCATGTTTCCTTGGGTCATACCATCACTCTTTGCTCTCTCTACCTGTCTCCTGGAGAGGCTTATGATCAATCAAACCTTGATGCTCTCATTGAACTTTCTCATTCTCCCTTTTTAATTCTGGGAGACACAATGCCCTCATTAGATCCAAACTGGACTATGGGTCATTGGTCTATGGTTTTGTAAGAACCTCGGCATTGAAGATGCTGGACCCCATTCACCACCTGAGGCTTTGGCTCTGCACGGGTGCTTTCTGCACTTCTCCATCAGTTCCTTCTTTTGGCCTTTGTATCCAGGGACAACTGGCTGAATTGGGTCCGGTATTGGATGACATTGCTACCCCCAATGACCAGCCCATTCCACCATGGCTTATTACCATCCCCAGATGTGATCTTTCCTTGAGTCACCTGAGGAAGGCCAATACTCCCGATTGGAAGTACCATCTTCTATTTACTGAACATCTTTCGAACCATCCTTCTATTCCCATTTACACGGATGATTCGAAATCTGGTGACTATAGGCTCTGCCATGATTTGCTGTGGCTCGTAAGTTGCTCACAAGATCCCCTCTACAGTTTTTGTGTTCACTACCGAGTTTTATGCCATTTCTCTTGCCCTGGATCATGTAGAAGCTATGCAGTACAGCCATTGCACTATTTATACTGACTCTCTTAGCTATGTACGGGCCCTGGAATAGCTTAACGTTAGTTCTCACCCTGTTCTAGTCGATATTCAACAACGACTGGCCCATTTTTCTCTATCTTCTGTTTCTGGCCATATTGGTATTCGTGGGAGCGAACTTGCTGACACCACAGCTAAGTCCGTCTGCTCTGGTGCTGTGTCCCATTCATGGACTACAGTCCTGTATTCAAGACGCAGCTTCATGCCAGTTAGCAGTCGACTTCGGGCAAGCAACATCATAATAAGCTTTTCCAGATCAAACCTTCTGTTGCTCCTTGGCCATCTTGTTTCCATAAGGATCAGAAGGAGGAAGTTGTCCTAGCAAGGCTACGCATTGGTCAGTTTTTTAACCCATTGTTTTCTTTTATTAGGTATTGACCCACCAATGTGTAGCATTTGTGACATTCAAGTCACAATAGCCCACATTTTACTGTCGTGCCATCCTTCGATATGACCATGAGCGGCGGCATTTTTTTCGACATATACACAGCGTGGTCACAAGTAAATAGACACCACCTTTTCAGCCATATTCACATGGATTGATATATTTATAATTTAATTAATATCTAGTAGATCTTCCTTTCGCTTCATGCAGTTTAATGATCCTTTGGGGCATCGTGAGAATCATCTCGTCAATTTTTAGATTGTGGGATTTTCACCCACTCTTGCTTCAAAACTTCAAAGTTGTTTTTTTTTGTTGTTTCTTAACTTGCCGGTCAAGTATGGCCCGGAGGTTTTCGATGGGGTT